CTCATGCGCTGCTCCGAGAAGCTCCCTCCACCCTTGCCTCGGGCGTGGCGCAGCGAGGGTCCGAGGGCCGCGGCGACGCGTGGGCCAAGGCGCGCAGGGGCGTTGCGGAGACCACCGCGCTCCACGGCAAGTGGAATGTTTTCATCTACAATACCGAGTGGAACATCCCCGACGTGGTCGGGCTCAAGCACGACTGCGACTACTACGCGGGCAGAGCTTCTAGGCCCGGGCTGGCCACTGCGACAGTGCATAAGCCTGCGCCGCCGAAGCTCCCAACAGGGCTCGCGCCTGGGACATATTGGCCGAAGAGCGTCGCCGTTGCGCTGAAGGGCGCTGGCCAGATCGACTTCCTCTTGCGGCGGCTCCGAGCCAGCTGCGCGGCAAACGGCTAGAGATTTCCCACGATGCGCGGCGGGGGGCGCACTGGGCTAACATCGCCCTGCGTGGATTCGCGCAGTCTGCGGAGTTCATGGGCATCGACAAACTGCAGGCGGTCGGCTACGTGGCGGGGGCCATGGCTGGCAGGGTTGCCAAGCGCGGTGTCGACGACAGCAGGGATGGCTTCAATGAGTGGGTCACCGAGAACCACCTTGCAGGTGCGGGGGCCCTTCGCGCCCTGACCAAACCCTCCCGGGGCTGAAAGCCGCGGCTATCGAGCTGCGAGCAGGGGCCAGCGGCGCTCCCAGAGGCTGGAAGAGCCCTGGTGAAGGAGTGGTCAGGCTACCGGGGGATGGGGCGCCCCGAGCCGTCGGGCGACAACATGAGCGAGACCGACTTGTCCTGGCCCGACGACATCGGGGACCAGCTACCTCGGCCAACGGCGAGCGAGGTCAGGAAGGTCATGGCCTCGTTCAGGGAGACCTTGGGGTCGTCATTCGATTCGCCCAGGCCTCGCGAGCTCGGGGGCCTGGGGGCCGCGGCTCCCGAGCGCGAGTTCTGGCGTCAACATAGGAGTTTGTGAACGACAAGTTGCGCCTCGCAAAGCGCGAAGGGAAGGGGCCCGAGGGCGAGCGGGGGGCGCAAAGCGCCATGGCGACGCCGCCGCCGCCGGCGTCGGCCGAGGACGAGCAGGCGGCCCAGCGGGCCGCCAAGGAGCTGGCGGTGACGAGAGGGCCCGCGCGTTGGACGATGCGTTTTTCCCCCCCATCCATCATTGCGCTTTCATTTTGATCTCGGCGCTGCAGCTGGCCGCCCTTCGCCGCCGAGCTCGCGTTCGCCCCGGAGACCGACGGGGGCCTCCGCCCCATTGCTCTGCTGGGGGCCATCGTCCGTGTTCGCGGCTGGCTTCGCAGGCTGATTGCGAAGGAATTGGAGCTGGACCGCGACAGGCCACGCTGGCGGGCGAGCTCTGGGATAAGTTGCGACAGAGCGGTCTGGCAGCGGCAAGCTCGGGCCGAGTGGGTGCAGATTGTGGTGGCCGTCCATGGCGACCAGGACTGGGCGCCCGCCTCACGTTGGCCGCGCCTCAGCCTCGCCAGAGCGCTGCGGGGTCCCTGTGGGACAGCCGGGGGCCGTTCAACTGGGCGGTCAGCGCTGCCGCGAAGTGGGGGAAGGTCAAGGGCCTGCTCGGTGCTGCGGTGCTCTCGCCGAGGTGGATCGGGTGCAAGGTGGCAGGCATGCGCGAGCGGATCAGACCCGACTGCGAGAAGCTCGACCTGCTAGACCTCTCGCCCTGGCACTTTTAAGGTCCTCATCATGAACGTCAAAACTTGGCAGCTGCAGCAGCTCGCCAAACATGCGCACAATGACCTCATCCAGGGAGCCTTTATTCCGCGCGCTAGGCGCTGGATCAACAGCGGCAAGGGCAGCGCTTTCGAGGCCAGCAAGTGGAATACATTTCCCCGCGACGAGCGGGGCTACTTGACGTCGGTGGTGGTGCAAGGGCAGCGGGTCAACGACAGGAGGCGCTACGCGTCCCCTCGACGGCGGGGCGCCGTTCGCTAACGCCGAGCTGTTCTCCGGCGGTGCCCCGTTTGAGGCGGGGCGCTCGCCTGCTATTTCGGATGATCGACGGGGCCGAGCTGATTGGGCTTCCCATGCTGCTCGGGAACTCTCTGCCACCGATCGCGGCCTGGTTCGACGCGTCGTGCGTCGCGAAGGCTTGCTGGGGCGGGGTCGGGGAGCTACTGCCGCTGCCGCTTCTGCGTGGGGGGCGGCGCGGCGCTGGGCGCGGGCGGCTTTCGACGACTTCGGCGGGATCGGCGGGCAGGGCCTCGCGATCAAGAAGGTCAAGGGCCACGCCGCGATGAAGGGCGTCCTAGAGGGAAATATCACAAGGCGAGACACGAGGGGCAACGTGGGGGCGGACAGCTGCGCGAAGTTCGCGGCGACAGAGCTCCGCCCCCCGCCCAGCGTCAGGGCGGCAGGGGGAATCGGAGCCCTCGCGCTCGATGGGGTCGCCCACTGGATCGGCGCGGCGGGCGGCGAGGCAGCCTGGCTTCGCCGGGGCATCGACGAAAGCTACGAGGAGTGCAAGAAGGGCCCGCCCCTCTCTCTCACGCGCCACGAGACGATCAAGATCGCGAACGGTGGAGTGTACTGCGTCAAGTGCTTGCGCCTGGCCTTCGGCGCCAACGGCATCGAGAAGCTCTGCGGCCGCGCCTGCAACGAGAAGGCGTTCGCCCCTGGCGCCCGCGGGGCCAAGCAGAGGCGGCCTGCCTTAGCCGCGCCTGCAGCGGGAGCGGCCGCCGCGGCCTTTGCAGCGGCCGGCAGGCTGGAGGCCGAGGGCTCAGACGAAGATGCCGTGGAGGAGATGCGCGCCCCGGGGGGTTCCATGCAAGTGGTTCTGCCCCTCCCTGCCTCGGGGTCCTCTGAGGGCGCGGTCGCGGGATCTGGCTTCCAGGGAGTGACAGGGAGCTCCGCCGAAGGCCCCAGTGCCACCGACCGCATGCGTCACGCGCGCCCAGGTCAGCGCACCCCTCACGCGTTTCGCGGCCCCACGCGGAGCTCCACCGAAGGCCCCAGTGCCGCCGCTCGCATGCGTCACGCACGCCTATGTCGGTACATCCTTCACACGTTTTTCGTGGCCCACAGGGAGCTCCACCGAAGGCGCCATTGCCACCGCTCGCATGCGTCACGCACGCACATTTTGGTACGCCCCTCACACGTTTCGTGGTTCCATAGGGAGCTCGACCGAAGGCCCCAGTTTCACCGCCCGCATGCGTCACGCACGCCCATGTCGGCACACCTCTCGAACACTTTGTTGCCCCATAGGGAACTCCACCGAAGGCCCCATTGCCGCCGCCCGCATGAGTCGCGCGCGCCCCTTTCGGCGCCCCTCTCACACGTTTCGTGGCCCCGTATGGGGGCTCCACCGAAGGCCCCAGTGCCACCGCCCGCATGCGTCACGCACACCAAGGTTGGTACACGCGTCGCGCGTTTTCGTGGCCCACAGGGAGCTCGACCGGCGGCCCCAATGCCACCGCCCGCAGGCGTCCGTCACGCACGCCCATGTCGGCACACCTCTCACACGCTTCCTGGCCCATAAGGAGCTCCACCGAAGGACCCAGTGCCACCGCCCGCACGCGTCACGCCCACCCATGTCGGCACACCCGTAACACGTTTCGCGGCCCCATATGGAGCTCGACCGAAGGCCCCAGTGCCACCGCTCGCATGCGTCACGCACGCCCATGTCGGTACATCCTTCGCACGTTTCGTGGCCCCACAGGGAGCTCCACCGAAGGCCCCAGTGCCACCGCCCGCATGTGTCACCCACGCCCATTCCGGCACACGCCTCCTACGTTTCGTTGCCCACAAAGAATTCCACCGAAGGCGCCAGCGGCTGCGTTCGCATGCGCCCACCGCACCCATTTCGGCACACCCATCACACGTTTCGCGGCACCATAAGGAATTCTACCGACGGCCCCAATGGGTGCGTTCGCATGCGCCCACCGCACATATTTCGGCACGCCTCTCACGCGCTTCGTGGCCCCATCTGGAATTCCACCGTGTGCCCCAGTGGCTGCCTTCGCATGCGCCCACCGGACACATTTTGGCACACCCCTCACACGTTTCGTGGCCCTATAGGGTGCCCCCTCCCGAGTGCGGTGAAGACAACGACGGTATTCGCAACTGCGTATGGTTGGGTCTTTCGCCAGGGAAGGTTTGGTTTTGGATTGGCTGCACCAGGGGGTGTGCTTGGGGCCACAATTCCATCGAGCCGAGTCCAAAGGGATGCCTGTTCCACTGCCCCTCTTGCCCAGTTGTTCCCATACACAATCTTGCGATGTTGTATGGTCAGATTTTTTGTTGGAAGTGTGGGCGCCTGGGCCCCAAGACCCCCATTGGAGGTGGCAAACAAGGGTAAACCAACACGTGCGAGGAAAGGCCCAGCGTTAGCCCCGCTAAAACTCGTTTTGCGCCGTATTTGTGGATTCGATGCTAGACGCCTGGTCACGCAACCTCAGGGGGTCTCACGCGAGAGTGCCGACTTGACAGAGGGGGCGATTTCCACTTGTGTAGCTGCTGCACATTGCCATGCGTTTAACGTTTAAGCACAACCTCCTAATCAAGAACAACGGAATCGCGTTCCATCGGTGTAACAGATGGAAGGTCTAAAGACGAATATGCACGGCGCCCAAGTCAGAGCCACATTTTGGAAACGGCCCCTCCTGCACCCGCCCACTTGCTTGATTTGGCACAAAACGAACGTGCGTGGAGATAAGGCAAGAGCCCCATGTTGAAGAGGAACCGCCCTCGGCCAGTGTAACGGTCGGATGTTCGAAGATGCGTGCGCGCGGGGTTGAGGCGAGAGCCGAATTTTGAAATCGACCCTTCCCATTTTAAGGAGGAGGAGGAAGAGGAGAAACTGGAGGAGGAGGAGGAGGAGGAGGAGGAAAAGGAAATCGTGAGGGATGGGGCGAGGGAGAACGCTCGTGGGAGCGCGCGCGGAGACGGGAGGACGAGGAGGAGGAGGGATGAGCAGGAGGGATGAGGAACCCATCCACCTCCTGGTGCTGCTCCTCCTCTTCCTCGGCGGCGACGACGATGTCGGCCCGCAGGTGCGGCACTCTGGGGGCGGTCGCGCGGCGTCCGTGGACTGGCGCGACCGGCTGCTGGCGTCGTCGTCACCGCCGTCGTCGTCGAGGATATATGGGCGGTTGTTGATTGTTTTTTGTTAGTTTGTATTTGTTTGGTTTTCGTTTTGTTTGTGAGCCTTCGGCCTCCTTGGCCGCCCTCGTGGCTGCTGCTGGATCCGCTTCGAAAGTCTGGCCAGAACGCACCCCGCGGGGGAGACGGAGCAGGGAGTAGGGAGCAGGGAGGAGAGAGTATGGAGGATGCGGGGGGAGGTGGGAGGGAGGGAGGGAGGGATCACATCTCCGACGTCGTGCCATGTTTCATGTTTTAATCCCAGCGATTTGTCCGATGTCTCGAGCACCTAGGGGACCATTTCTGGGCCCTGCGACCATTAAACAGCTCTTCGCGACGAAAACCTGGCCAGGGGCCAGGGGGCATGTTGCGGCCCACGGCTTGAACACATCACGACGTCGGAGGTCTGGGGGAGGAGAGAGCAACCCGTAGGGAGGCTGAGGGAGGAGATGGGAGGCATGGCGGTGGAGGTAAGCAGGAGGGGAAAAAGCGTGTCAGAGATCTCCCTACGCGTATCCCGTCCCGTGTTTCGGATCCCCCGAGGCTGAACACCTCCAGGTCGTTCGTGCATGACCAGGCTCTCCCGATGGGAAAAACGGTGCGGCTTGAGACATTCGCGAACCTCGCTCTCCCAAGACGCCCCACAATCAGCCATCATTGCGGACCGCCCAGCAGGGCCTGGGGCTTAGACGTGATTGAAAACATTGAGGGTGCTTTGCCAATATCGACTTTTTGCCTTGTTTCTTATGCGACGTTTTGGTTTACATAGAGTCACCATTGTAATTCGTGATGCGTTCACTTATCTGTATATGGGTGCATGTATGTATGCATGCATGCATGCCTGCATGAATGCATGTATGCATGCATATACGTACACATGAATATCAACATATGTATGTATGCATGCATTCATGCATGTCTGTCTGTCTGTCTGTATGTATGTATGCATGCATGCATGCATGCATGCATGCATGCATGTATGTATGCATGCATGCATGTATGTATGTATGTATGTATGTATGTATGTATGTATGTATGTATGTATGTATGTATATATGTGTATACATGTATGTGTGTATGCACGTATGCATGTGTGTATGTATGTCTGTATGTATGTATGCATGCATGCATGTATGTATGCTTGCGTGCGTGCGTATATATATATATATATATATATATATATATGTATATATATAAGATGTGCGTATGTACGTGTATGTATGTATGTATGTAGGCCGGTAGGTAGGTGGGTAGGCATGTATACATGCATGTATGTATGTGTATATGGACATACGCATATATACACATATGGTCGCCCCCAAGATCTACCTTTTGGTGGGTCCTGAATTTCATTTGAAAGCCTTTTCAAAAGGATTCAGATTGAAAGCCTGTGCACATGGATTACAAGTAACATCCTTCACACAAGGATTCCTGTTGAAATCCTTTACACAAGGATTTCTATTGATGTCGTGTACAAATGGGGTTCCTAGTGAAAGCCTTTACAAAAGGATTCCGACTGGAATTCTCTACAAAAGGATTCCTATTGAAGTCCTTTACACAAGAATTTTACTTGAAAACCTTTTCAACATGATTCCTATTGAGAAGCAGGAGCACATGATTTCATTGTTTTTTCTTGTTTTTCTGGTTTGGTCGTTGCTTCCCTCCCTTTCCTTTCCTCCTGCTCCCTGCCTGCTGTTTCCGCCTGGCCCGTCGTCTGCCTGCCCGCCCGCCCCGCCGGCCCTGGCCTCCCGCCTGGTCGTTCGTCGTCGTCTGCCTGCTTCTCCCCTCCTCGTCCCCTTCCGCTGGACCGCGCAGCCTGCCCAGAACCAGCGTGGCGGCATGTAGGGCTTCGGCATGTGGGGCCAGTTTTGCGCCCCGAGGCGTCTTTTGACGGCCTTGAAAGGTCGGCGACGGCCCCTTTTTTTTGACTGAGCTCTCTGGGGCCTCCTAGAGCCTGTTGGAGCCTCCCGAGGGCCCCAAGACGGCCAGGACGCCAAGCGAGAGCAAGGCTGCCTCGTGGCCCCGTTGCAGCCTTCGTGGCCCCCTCGCTTTGGACCGCAGCGAGCTCGGCCGCCAAGTGGGCAGCCAATGTGCTCAATGTCCATCCGAGTCCCGTTGGTCGGATTTGGAGCCGTTCGGCCTGGCGGCCGATACGGCTCAGACGCCGAATGGGTCCAGAAGGGCACCCTGTGACCATCGTCATCAAGTTTTTTCCTGCCGCCGACCCTGCGATCTTGTGTCGGTTGTTCCCTCGCGTCTGTCCAGGCCAAGCCAAAACAACGATAGCCTTCAGACCTGAAAAACCAGAAAATCAAATGAAATCATATGTTTTCCTGCTTCCCAAACCAGAAAACCGGAAACACTAATGACATCACAGGTTGTCCCGCTTCCCAACCAGAAACACAAAAACATGAAATCTTATGTTCTCCTGCTTCTCAATAAGAATCCTTTTGTTGTAAAGGACTTCGATAGGAACCCTTCTGTGGAGGATTACATGCGGAATCTCTTTTGGAAAAGCTTTCGCTAGGAACCGTTCTGTAAAGGATTTCAAATCGTGTGCAAAAGGGTTCCTAGTGAAAGCCTTTACAAGAGGATTCGGATTGGAATCCTTCACAAAAGGATTCCTACTGAAATCATCAACAGAAGAACTGATTTGAAATCATTTTCCAAAGGTTTCCTATTGAGTAGCAGGGAAACATGTGATTTCATTGTTTCTTTATGGCTTTTCGGGCTTGGGAAGCAGGAGCACCTGTGATGGCATAGTTGTTTCTACAGTTTTCTTATTTGGGAGCTAGATATTACCAAACGGGCTAAGCCAAAACAACGATGGCCTTCAGACCAGGAAAACCACAACAACGAATGGAATCACCGGTTTTCCTGCTTCCCAAACCAGAAGAACCAGAAAAACAATGACATCACACGTGATCCTGCTTCCCAAACCACAAACAAACAAACAATGAAATCTTATTGTTTCTGCTTCTCAATAGGAATCCTTTTGAACAGGCTTTCAATTACTTGTTCGTGAAGGATTTCGCTAGAAATCCTTCTGTGGAGGATTCCAAGCGGAATCCTTTTCGGAAAAGCTTTCGCTAGGAACCGTTCTTTAAAGGATTTCAAATCGTGTGCAAAAGGGTTCCTAGTGAAAGCCTTTACAAGAGGATTCGGATTGGAATCCTCCACAAAAGGATTCCTATTGAAATCCTTGGCACAATAATTTGTTTTGAAAGGCTTTTCAAAGGGATTCCTATTGAGTAGCAGGAGCACCTCTGATTTCATTGTTTTTTTTTTCTGTTTTTTTTCTTTAAAAGTTCTGGTTTGGGAAGCAGGAGCACATGTTTTTCTTGTTGTTTTTTGGGGGCGGGTATCTTCTGGTTTGGGAGCTAGATGTTGCCAAACGGGCAAAGCCAAATCAGCGATAACCTTCAGACCAGAAACACAAACAACAACTATGTAATCACAGGTTTCCCTGCTCCCCAAACGGGAAAACCAGAAAAGCCAGTAACATCTCAGGCTTTCCTGCTTCCCAAACCAGATATATAACAACAGACTATGGAATCACAGGTTTTCCTGCTTCTCAATAGGAACCCTTTTGAAAAGGCATTCAAACAAAGTTCTGGCGTAAAGGATTACAATCGAAATCCTTCTGGGGAGGATTACAATCGGAATCCCTTCTGGAAAAGGCTTTCGCCAGGAACCGTTCTGTAAAGGATTTCAATCGGAATCCGTTTGTAAAGGGTATAGATAGTCAGTTTTTAGTGAATAGTGTTACTTGGGTCCCGTTTGAAACGACATTCCATAGGAATCCTTGTGAAAAGGCTTTCACATGAAATCCTTGTGTAAAGGGTTTCAATAGGAATCATTTTGTGGACAGTTCAGTAGGAATCATTTTGAAAAGGCTTTCAATCGGAACCCTTCTGTAATGTATTACAATACACACGTTTTGTAAATGATCCCAATCCGAACGCTTGATGAAGCATATCAATGCCGACAAAAGGATGAGGAAGAAAGGAGGAGGAGGAAGAGGAGGGGAAGACTGGAACAGGGCATGGGCATGGTAGATCTTGGGAGGGGGTGTGAGCACGCACACACACACATCTATATTTATATGCATGTATGTGTATGGATTTATGTATAGGTATGTGTATACGTATGTCTGCACGTACGCACGTACATATGTATGTATGCACGCATGTATGTATGTATGCATGCGTGCATGTATGCATGCATGCATGTATGTGTGCGTGTGTGCATGTATGCATGTATGCATGTATGCATGTATGCATGCATGCATGCATGCATGCATGCATGCATGTATGTATGTCTGCATGTATGTATATGCAATGTAATGTACTGTAATGTAATGTAATGTAATGTAATGTAAATGTATTGTATTGTAATGTAATGTAGTGTAATGTAATGTAATGTAATGTAATGTAATGTGATGTGATGTGATGTGATGTGATGTGATGTAATGTAATGTAATGTAATGTATGTCTGTCTGTCTGTCTGTCTGTCTGCATGCATGCATGTATGTATGTATGCATGTATGCATGCATGCATGCATGCATGCATATATGTATGTATGTATGTATGTATGTATATATGTTTGTATGCATGTATATGTGTGTATGTATATATGTATGTGTGTGTATTTATGTATGTGTGTGTATGTATGTATGTATGCATGTATGTATGTATGTATGTATGTATGTATGTATGTATGTATGTATGTATGTGTGTGTATGTATGTATGTATGTATGTATGTATGTATGTATGTATGCATGCATGCATGCATGTATGTATGTATGTATGTATGTATGTATGTATGTATGTATGTATGTATGTATGTATATGTGTGTTTTTAGATGTGTATACATACACGCATATATGTGTATGCTCCCCAATCAGAGCTTGCCTCTGTAGGGGTCCTAGCGGATTCATATGGTTAGGTGAGGTGGGGCGCCGATTTCGGCGGCCCGCCCGGGTGCCCGGGTGCCCGGGTGCTTTATATAGCAGTATTGCTCTATAGTTTTATAGTTTTATAGCTTTATAGCTCTATAGCCCTATAGCCCTATAGCCCTATAGCCCTACAGCCCTATAGCCCTATAGCCCTATAGTCCTATCGCCTTATAGCCTTATATCCTTACAGCAGCCCTATAGCCCTACAGCCCTATATCCCTGTAGCCCTGTAGATCTAGAGCCCTATGGCACTATAGCCCCAGAGCCTTATTGCCCTATAGCCCCATAGCCCCATAGCCCTATAACCCTAAAATGATTCGGATTAGGGTTTTTCTCCGGTGTCATATGGTTAGGTTAGCTTCATCTCCGATTTCGGCTGCACGCCTGGGTGCCCGGGTGCCCGGGTGCCCAGGTGCCCGGGAGGCGCGTCGCCGATTTCGGCGGCCCGCCCGGGTGCCCAGGTGCCCGGGTGCCCCATAGCCCTATATCCCCTTAGCCCTATAGCACTACTGCCCTATAGCCCGATAACCCTATAGCCCTATAGTCCTACAGCCCTACAGTATAGCCTGATAGCCCTCATAGCCCTATAATCCTATAGCCCTATAGCCCTATAGCCCTATATACATATAGCCCTATAGCCCTATAGTCCTACAGCCCTATAGCCCTATATCCCTCTAGCCCTATGGCCCTATAGCCCTATAGCCCCATAGCCCTACAGCCCTACAGCCCAATGGCCCTATAGCCCGATAGCCCTATAGCCCTATAGGCCTATAGCCCTCTAGCACTACAGCCCTATAGCCCTGTTGCCCCATAGCCCTATAGCCCTATAGCCCTTTGGCCCTATGGCCCTATAGCCCGATAGCCCCATAACCCTATAGCCCTATAGCCCTATAGCCATACATAACGGAACATATTATGATTGTGTGTTTCTTCAGGTATCACATGTATGTACGTACGTATGTACGCATGTCTGTATGTCCGCCTGTCTGTCTCTGTGCCACCATACATGCATGCATATGTGTGTGTATGCATGCATGCGTGTATGTATGTATATGTTTAAGACTGTTTGAATGTATGGATGAATTAATGTGTGCATGTATGTATGCATTAATGCATGTACATATGTACGTATTGATGTATATATGTAGGTACGTCTGCTGATATGTATGTACGTACGCAGGTATGTATGTATGCATGTATGTATGTATGGATGCATGCATGCATGCACGTATGTATATGTATATGTATATGTATATGTATGTATGTATGTATGTATGTATGTATGTATGTACGTATGTGTATGTATGTATGTATGTATGTATGTATGTATGCATGCATGCATGCATGTATGTATGTATGTATGTATGTATGTATGTATGTATGTGTGTGTATGTATGTATGTATGTATGTATGTATGTATGTATGTATGTATGTATATTTGTATGTATGCATGTATGTAGGTATGCATGCATGCATGCATGTATGTATGTATGCATGCATGTATGTATGTATGTATGTGTGTATGTGTGTATGTGTGTTATGTATGCAAATGCGCAGATATGTATGTATGGATGTACGGCCCGTGGCACACCTGCCTGTTGCCTTTCCGTGTAGCCCAGCCAGTTGTTGGACCCCATTCGCCGCACACCAAGCAAGTTGTATTTCCGTTGCTATTGCGCTTCATGCGTTCTTGCATTTCACCTTGACTCCTGCCTGACGCCCCTTTATGGGGTGCCGTGGGAAACTAAGAACCGTCCCCACCGGTTTTAATAACATCGACCGCCTGGGGCGGTCGCAGGCAGCTGCTGAAGCCAGTCCACGTTGGTCTCCACATGCCGCAGGGGTAGCCCAGGACGGTTTCCAAACTTACACTTCAGGTATTTCCAAAGGGGGTCGTAACTACGAGGGTCGCCAGCTCCTTCTCAAGATCGAGGTTTGAGGATCAAGAAGATTTTGAACGACGCTTGGTGCTTTTTGGTGCTCTGGGGGGTTCGGGGGTGGGGGTCCTGAGGGGACCTTCCCCTCGAGAAGTTGGCGACCTTAGTGGTGAGGTGACCCGCCGGACGCTCCTGGCGTTGCCTCTGGCGCATTCCCTGGCGCGCTCTGCGCGCCAGGGACGGGTGTCCACCGCCGATCCAAGAAATCTTGACAGACCTCCGACACTTCACGTTTACACGAATCCTTCTTGTCGAAACAACCGCGTCGGGGCTGAATGTCCTCGAGGTGCACCCTTCGCGTAAACGGCGCAGCGAGCTCATGGTGCCGTCGTGCGCCTGGGCCGGCCTGCCCGTCCTCAGTGCGATCCATAGGGATCGTTCGCATTTTTGTGGAGAGAGGGCCTACCCCGGTATCATGCGCAATATTATGCAATAGCCTTTGTGGGTTCTAAATGTTTCTCCCGATGTTCCCAGGCTCCAGCATACAAGCGGTTTTCCATTTGAACATTTTGATGACGTCAATGAAAACGACGATGAATGTCGATGGCGATGATGATGTTGAGGATGCTATTGATGATGCGGTGATGACGATGATGAATCTGGTGGTGATGATGATAATTCTCCTGCGATCCCTCCAGGTCGCGGTCGCTCAGGTGTCACCTACCTGCCCGAAAATCATTCAAATCAGTTCCCATACCCCTCCTGGGTCCTCTCTGGCCGTTTCTTCGAGATGCGTCCAGCCATGGCCACGAGGGACCACCATGAGGCCCCACAAGAGGAGGGACACGTCAATTTGCGCAATCCTAGGCCTTGTCGCCCTTCTGCCTCATCGAGTTCATGTGTTTGATGCTGTATTTTCGTTGTATCTTCTATTGTGTTACTTATGCCTCTTATTGTCGGTTTGCATGTTTCCAGGTTCCTTGTGGATTTGTCCTCTCCGCATCTAGCACAAGGGGTTGCTACTGAATCTAGCTTTGGAGGGGTACCCTGGTGCTCTGTGTGTCTGGGCTTTCCACCTTGGAGTGCTCTTCCATCTTGGTTGTCTCTTTGGTGCCTTGGGCCTTCGGCGAAGGGGCGCACGCTCTGGACCCACCCTCTCGTGGCCACTTCTGGACTGCATGCTGCCCCCGCGCTGTCCACCCAACCAGACGCCTGGCCAGTGCAGACAGCGGACTCACCCATGTCTTCATTCGGTGAATGTTCATCTTGCTGTATGTATGTATGTATGCATGTCTTGGGTTTCATTTAGGCGCTGCCAGGAATTTTCTGCCGATCTCTACCATGTTGTGGATATTGCGGTCGGCGTTCCGGGGGAGCGCGCTGATTTCTGCGAGGTCCAGGGCCCCTGAGCGGCCCCAGACCCACGTGTTCCCCGCTCTGGCCCATGCGAACAGCGCCGAGGGCGAGAATTTAGGCCCGCGCGCATGTGTATTGCTGGAGTTTCATGTGCTCCTGAGCTCTAGCCTACATTCGTTCGGTTGTGCGCCCTTCTCCAGCAGCCTGCTTTTCACTAACAAGATTCCGATCACCTTGGCATTTCAATGCAATGGTGTGCTTGTCTGTGGATGGTCTGCTTTTTTTGCGGTCATGTGCATAACCCACGATCGGTTGCCCGGACTGTCACTGTCTCCTTGTGCAGGGAGCGAACTTCTTCCCCAGTTCGTATATGCCTTTCCTTTCTACGACGACTTTGCGATCTTCTCCAAGTTACAGGATACCTTGACATCATGCTTCCTGTGACTTCGTTCGCTTATGTTCCTAATATTGCCTTTCGTGGTATTCGTGATGCTCCTCTCCTTTTCCCAGGTTTCAATATACTATTGTTTGTTCCCGATCTGCAATGCACAGTGCACGATGTACCTTTTGACTTTAATGGCCAGTGACTTGCTGTACTCTTTGTGGGTATTGTTGTCAGATGCTGGTTGAGTCACCAGGGGACGTCTACTATTTCCTTGTGTCCAGGTTTTGAACCCAATATCGGTTGGTCCTGATGTACATCTACGCGCGCGCGCGATCCGCAAAGGGCTCTTGCGGGTCCTGCTGGGCGGTGGCGGCCGTGGGCGCGCTCGAGATGCACGCGGAGGCCCTGCACGGGCGCACGGTGCGCCTCTCCTACGAGGAGCTCCTCTCCCCCCCCCCTGCCGCCTGCTGCTCCTCCTCTAGATGTTCGTTTTGGGGACCTTCCTGCGGCCCACCTGACGGATCTGTTCGATTGCGAAGGCCTTGCGGCCCGTGCCGCCGACCCTGAAGGGGCACGACGACAACGGCGGCGGCGGCGGCGACAACGACGATGCTTACGTGGGTCAGAGTCCTCATGGATGCTTCTTGGGGTCTCTTCGAAGCGCACTCGGAGGCCTCTGGGGTCTTGGGAGCCTCTTGGGGGCCTCTCGGGGCTTCCTGGGGGCCCCTTGGGTGCCTCTTGGTTCCTCCTGGGAGCTTCTTGGTGCCGAGGGCTCGAAATGTCCGTTCTGGTCCCTCGTCTTGGCACCCTCTTGGAGCCGTCATGGGGGCCTCTTGGGCCGTCTTGGAGGCGTCTTGGGCCGTCTTGGGCCGTTTGGGGTCCCTCCTGGAGTCCGGCGATCTGGGGGGCCTCTTGGGCCGTCTTGGAACCTCGGGAAGTGGAAGAGCCGAAATGCTTCGAAAACCAATGGAATATTTGTGATTTTTCTTCCTGGGGCCCCCTTGAGGTGCTCCTGGAGGCCTCTTGGGGCGTCTTGCAGGGCTCTTGGGCCGTCTGGAGGCCGTCAAGGCGTCTTGGGCAGATTGTTCGGCGATTCGGGGCCCTCGTGGACCGTCTTGGGGGCCTCTTGGGGCACCCTTGGCCCGTCTTGGGGGCCCTGGGACCTCTCGGGGGGGAGTCGTATCTGACCCGGGACCCCTCCAGGGACCCCCCCCCCTGAACCCCTCCCCGGCCCCCCCCCCTTCCCGGCGGGGCAGGGATCAAAGGGAAGGGGCTTCCCTTCGAGTCAATTACGACGTTGCTCAATTTCGCTGTGGCTGGCGCGCTTGAGGGGGAGGGCCCAGGGAAGAGGGAGAGGGAGCGGCGACGGGCCCAGCGCTTGAGGAGGAGGGCCCAGGGAAAGGGGGGGAGCGGCAACGGGCCCAGGGAAAGGGGGGGCGCAGGGAAAGGAGACGACAGAGACGACGACTAACGAATGACGGAGACGACGACTCGAACGGACAAGCCCCTCACACACGCCGACAGGGTAGGCGGATTCTAGTTCGAATCTAGTTTGTTTGCATCGGCTCTATAGTCTGCGAAAACAAGTTGGAAATTTGGGTGTGCATAGTACACAAGATGGCAATTGCATGCACGCAGTATCCAAGACAGTCACATGCAGTCACATTGGGCGCTGCACCCACGCCGAGCCGACGTGGGCCAACAAGTAGAGTAACTTTGGGCGATGTTTGGCGCTCGTGGGCGGAGGACCTTCCGTGCTCGAACCACCTTGAGACTCTCCGGCCCATAACTTCGTACTATAATGAGTGATTGTCGGAGGGTCTCAACATCTTTATACATGCTACAAAATTAACCAGGTGAAGCCCGATGGCGGTCTCAAGCGGTCCAAGAGGGTTTCAAAGTACACCGAGACCCTCGACGTTGAGCACATCCGCGAGTCTCACGCGGTCTCCATGTGCCACGAGACCCCCGGCGCGGGGCGCATTCGCGCGTCTCACGCGGCTTCAAAGAGCCACGCATTTCTCGGCGCCGAGCACATTCACGCGTCTCACGGGGTTTCAAAGTGACACGAAACCCTCGGCGCTGAGCCCACTCACACAGGATTTCAAAATGCTAATGTCTCGAAGTGCCCCGAAACACTTCGGCGACGAGCACACCCGTGCGTTTCACAGGATCTCAGAGTGCCACGGACCCGCGGCGCCGAACGCATCCGCGCGTCCCAGATGGCTTCAAAACGCCACGGAACCAAGCGTGGCGCGGCACGACTGGGCACATGTGTCGCTTCTTGTGTCCAAGAGCCACGTGTCTTAATACAGCTGATACCCCTAGCGTATTCGCAAGTCAGGAAAGCGCGCAAGCATGCCATAACGCACGCTCGCAACAAGCAAGCAAGCATGTATGGTTTGAGATGACGATGGCAACTAGTACAAGCGGAATCCTGATGATGACGCCGCAGAGGATGTGGGCCCGACGCGACTTCGGAATCACTTTCCAAACGGGTCTCCTTTGTTTGTAGCACGACCCGACCTCGATTCACGGTCGACGGACATTCGACGCAGCATCGACGCATAAGTAATGCAAGTGGCTCCAGGACGGTCCCCAGAACGAACATATAACCCTCTCTTCTTCTGCTGCGGCTGTTCGTCTATTTAGTTACCCCGGCGTTGATCGAAACGAACCCCGCGCCTGGGCGCTCGCACTGATAAGAACAGAAGAGTGCGCGCGTGGGCACAGGAGAATAGTCGAGCAGTGCGTGCGCAACAGGAGTGATCATAATGTCAGGTCAACGGGCGAAAAGTGGAGTAGCCCGTAAGGGCCTAGAGGTGGGCACAATTGTAAGGTTTCGCATCACCTGCCACTTGACCTGAAGCATCCCCCCCACACCTCTGATCCTTCTCTTCCCGCCCTCGTCGATCGAGGTCCCTGCATTCGGGCCGATCGTTTGTTCCAATCCCGCGTTGTTCTTCCACTGCGAAGGCCCTGGGGCTCGTGCTGCCGAACCTGAAGTCGGGGGTGATATGCTAGTTGTGCCGCGAAATGGATTGACCTGCAGGATACGGACCTGTTCCGACCGATCTGTAACATCCAAACTGCGCTGAAACATGGGCAAATGTCATGGTTTGGGGATTATTTCGACGATGTGATACTGAAACATTTTGCGTGTGCCGACCTGGCGAGTGACGTCAGAACGCGCCATAGTACGAGTGTAATTAATCAGAGCATCTGGGGCCCCCATGCCCCGGCCAAGCAGACCGCGTCGTCGAGACGACAAGCGCGTGCGTTTTATGGTGCCCCAGCGGCCGAAGTCGCCGCCGCTGACCTGGCTCTGAGAACTGAAATGCCGCCCGCGACGCCCTCGTGGGAAACAGATTTCGGGCGCGCGGGCAGCGCGCGAGATGTGCAAAGGGGGGATCGCAAAAGCTCATGCGTTTGCCCTGCCCCCATCGAATACATGAATGAGCCATATCCGATCAACTTGTACGCGAAATTATTGAGCTTGTGCACGTGAAGACGCGGATCCAGAACGTGGGCGTCGGTGCCGAGAAGTTCCCGGAGCCGCCTTCATGGGTCAAAATGATTACCTTGGCTCAGGCAATGGCCCCGAGATGTCGGTTTTCCCTTGATCTCCAGACGCGCTTGCAGTCCACGTTTGGAGACGGGCCTGGCCACGGCTCGAGCAAACCGAAAATGGCCAAGATTCCGAAGCGTGCTGGCAAAGAAGAGCTTCCTATATCCAGCGGGATGGCGACCGAAGGGGGTATGTCTGGCCAGGCGAGCTACGAGCGGCCGTGGTCCAGGACTTGGTCGCCGCCTGGGCCGCGAGCTCAACGGTGGCGCTTTTTGTTTGGAGCCGTTGAAGGTGGTTCCGCGGAAAGCCAATGCAATTTGTTGTTGGTAGAGTTTGGTTGCGGTGAACGCAGCGAACCAGGGCGGCCGAAGCTTATGCGTGGGACAGCCGGGGCTCGCGCAGAAAGGGCCCAGTGAGGTAGTGAGATCGACCGGAGAGGATGATATCCCAACCGAAGCGGGACTAGAAATCGCTGTGCGATATCTCTAGGGGGAGGCTAGAAAGCATGCTGCCCCGGGGGCCTCTACGCCGCGCGCGGGGGGGGGGGGCTCTGGCAGTTTGTGAACGAGGCCATCTACGATCGGAGAAACAGATCTTACTGCCTTGAGAGGGCTGTCGGGAAGGCGAGTTCAGGCTCTGCCATTGATTTGGCCCTTGAGGGAATGATCGCAATTTGTGCTTGAGCTGAAGGGCGCGGCGCGCGCTTGGAGCGGGCCTTTTAGCGCCGGCACAGGCGCGACCCGCGCGTCGGATTTGTTTTCCTTCTTCTTCTTCTTCTGCTTCCTTTCCTCTGGCTGAGCACAGGTGAACAGCTTGGACAGTGGCTGCGAATTCTGGTTTCTGCAACACTTTTTATCCGTGATTTCCAAGTCGTGCGACCGGAGTCGCGGGCATGTCATGGCTAGGGGTGAATGGCAATGTGGCGGAGGATTCGCTGATGGCGCGGTGCGTGCGATTCATCGTGGGTTCCCACGCGTTGCGCATTAGGCAGTGCATGTTGCGCCTGTTAAGATTGCATGTGCGTGCGCAGTCGTTCCAGCGTCAGCGGCGCTGCCTTCTCTCCGCGCCCCGCCCCAGCTTCGGGCCCGCCTGCCAGTCCCCGCGACGCGCCCCCCCGCCGCGCGCGGCGCGATCGCGCGGGGCCCGCTATTGGCGGTTGCCTGCCGTCTGAGGACACGTCGCGCATCTTTTGCGTTCGCTGCAACTGCATCTGTGGTGCCATGCTGGAGCAGGGGATCGAGTGCCCTCTCGCGCCCCGGGATGACGCTGGATGGAAGGGCATCCTTTCGAAAGCCAAGAGTGATTCAGAAGTGGATATCCGACAGCCCCTGTGAGCAATGCGGGAGCATGTCGAAGCTGCCGACGGGGCCTTATAAGCGGTCCCATCCTCCGCCAGAGGTGCGATCCAGGATGCCTCCTGAGGAGACGGAACCGACGGGGTTCGACGAGCTCGAACCAGCTCCTCTATAGGAACGCAGCTCCTGTTGGGCGAAGGGTCGAAGTCGCCCGGGCACTGGCGCCTGGCGCCGCGCCCCCACTTCGTGCTCGATGCGTGGTTGGGCGCCTCGACGGCGGAAGGAAATTCGCCAGGCGAGCGTTTCGGGCGCTGGAAACTCCAAGCCGAACCGTCCCAGATGTACGTGCCCATGGACACGCGCGCTCAGGTGACTTGGTCTGCTCAGAAACCTACGGGTGCCAGGAAAGAAACTATCGATGATCTAATCGAATGGGTCAAAGTTAGGGCCGGCAATGTCTATGCGCCCCGCAGCTTTGCGCCCGGATATTTCACTGGGCAGGCCCCTCGGGCAGGAGGAGTCCGCCGCACTTCAAGCGAGCGCCCTGGCTGACGGGGGTGCCGGAAGGCAGCGGCGTTGTCCAGGATTACCTTGCCTCTGCTGTCTCTCTTGGGTGGAATTCGTTTTAGGGGCCGCCCGAACTGGCTGCGGGGGCCCGCCCCATCGAAGATTCAGTCGACTAGTGCGAGCTCTCGTGATGCATGGGAGTGAAATCGCATCCAGAAGAGGCCGAAGCACGTTGGGCGCCCAGATTCAAGGCCCGCGCTCAGTTTGAGGAGTCGCGAGGGCGCCGCGGCAGAATTTGCGCCCTGAATCCGAGCCGCGCGCGCCCTCCCTGAGCGTGGAAATTGGCCTCCCAGTTAACGCGAGCAAGGAGATCGATGCGCGGATTGAGTCTCCAATGAACGCCCGCCAGGGCAGGTTCGGAGAAGCGGCGTTTGACGGGGTTGACCCTGCTGAGCGGCCATTTGCGCGGCGCGCGCGCGTCGACGGGGGCCGCCCCGAGAGGGCGAGCGCTGGGCCTCCGCCAGCGGCGCCGGCAACGCCGCCGTCGGGGCAGTCTCAGTTCAATTGGGCGGAACTGATGCACCCCAAAGAAGTGGGCCCCCTGCTTGTTCGGATTCGTTATCTACGAGCTAAGACGGGGCCTCGAACAATCGGCGAGCGAATGGGGGCGCGTCAATGAGGCCTGCGTTGCCGGCCCGAAGAGGGCGCCCTTTGCGGCTGGCGCTGCGCGGGGGAATCTCCCGTATCTCGCCGCCGCGGGAGCCGAGGCCGTTGCGACAGATGAGCGGGGCAGATCCCGAGTGCGTTGAGCTGGGCCGATCGATGGAGGCGCCCAATCGCCAGAAAAGCGGGCGGGGCGCCCCAGGGCGTGCACCTCCTGGGCAGATTGCCAGTGAATTTGGGTCTCCGTCTGAGGCCGCGATGCGCGGCGCGGGGAGTTCCGGGCCGTCGGGTTCTGCTGTTCAGGAAATGTCGCACTTGATCGAACCGCTTCCTTGACCGTTGAGTCACAGGGGGAAGATGCCGAAAGGGCCGCTGGTTCGTCAGAAGAGTTGTTGCCTTGCGGACCGGGCGGGCCTGTCGATGTCGGCGGTGGAGTCGGTCGCGGCGGCGCGCCTCCCGCGCGGGGCGGGCCGCCGGGCCCGCTGGGCGACGCGGCCGGGGGGCGAGGTGGTGCCCCGCAAGGCGCGGGCCCCGGAGGCGATGGTCCCGGAGGCATTTGCGGCGGAGACGACCGGCGACGAGCCCCCCTGGGGGCCGCCCAGGGTTCAGCGACCTGCCCGACATGGAACTTCGCGCGCGCGGGCTCGGGGCAGCGAGGCAGAACCTCTTCGATGTCGATGCGAAAGGGGTGCAGAAGCTGCCAAATTTCAGAGCGCGTGTGACCCGATCCCCGAGATTCGCAGCCAAGCTGATCACGTGTATCGCGTTCACGAATAGCCCGGAAAATGTAGGGGATGCAACGCGTCTGCGGCGTCTTCCGATTTGCCGGGGCAGATCCCCAATGCTGGACAATTATATTGTTGTGGCGCGCCACCTCGGCCGCGACATTTGCGCACGCGCGGCGGGGGCGGGCGCTCGACTCACTCCTGGCTTCTGCAAGAGAGGAAGTCGAGATAACGCCAGGCAGCGAAGGGAGTCGCCCTCGAGGTTGTGGGCGACTCGTTTGGCGCGCGAAGGTCGTCGCCGGGGGCGCGAATGGGCAGGGCGCTTCTCCGCGGCCGACAGTTACTTCTTGCGGAGCAGCGACGATGCATGTTTTAGACGGAGCAGCGCATTATAAGGTGGGAACGTTCTTCGACGATCGTGCGTATTACGATCGGACGCCAGTCGCCAGCTCGCCGTGCAGTTCGCGAGCCCGAGTGGGCTATGGAATTGCGGCGGCGAGATGCCTGGGCACGCGGCCAAGGATGCTCTCGTGAATGACGAAGTCCAAATCGTGATCGCCGCAGGCGACAGACTTTGATCGACGGAATAGCGTTGCACCTCGACCATTGTAGTCTCTGCGTTTCAATTGTAGGAGGCAGCGCGGAATGTTGGGGCGCTCTATGAGTGCGAGGACTGCGATGGATGCAAGAATTGTGTGCTGGGTGGCCCAAGTGCGGCCAACCAGATGCGTTGTGTTCAGTGTTCGACGGAGTGCCTCTGTGTTATGAGATCCCGATTTCCGAGGTTGGCATTTCGGGCTGGAGAGCGGTGGCGTGTCGAGTGCGATTGCGAAGTGAAGGTCGGCCGCGGCTGATATCACCTTCGCGCTGCGGTCGCATGGCGGGCCATCTTTGCGCCCCGCCTTGGTTTCGACGCCGGGCCCGGCGGCGGCGGCGGCGTCGCGGGGGCCGGGGGGTCAGCGGTGACGTCCGCTGCCCTGGGGGGGGGCGTCGCTGCGAGCAACGCCGTCGCCTTTTTCTGGATGGGGCTAGTCGGCGATGACGTCCCGTCGCCCGTTAGTCAGGCCGACCCGCGCGCGGATATCGAGGTGCCGGATGCCCCGGACCTCCCGCGTAAAGCGTTAGACGCGGTCAAGAGTCGTAGCGCGAGGCATTGTCTAGTGGGCGACGCTGGCGACGGAAGTGGGGCTTCCACAGTGCGACGTGGGCCCGGCGAGCGAGCCGCGCACCCCGGCGCCCCCCCTTCCGGACCTGGCTGCGAGGGGCGCCTCGGTGCCGCGCCTTCCGTCCACAGGCGTGGCGGAGTTCCTCGTTTGCCTGCGCGCGACGTAGTCTAGTAGCGCGGGGGCCGTTCGTGTCGGACCGAGTCCCATTGGGAAGTGCAGTAATCATCGCGCTGCTGGCGATGGAGAGCCCGCCGCACTCGGATTGGGGCGGGCGACTGGGCCCCGTTGTTCTCGCTCTCTGAACCCAACTGAGACTGATTGCACCATGGCAACTAGACGATCGGGCGCGAACGGCCGTGGTCGCGAGAGATTCCGAGGACGAGCTGACTGCCGTAGAGAAAATCACATGGATAATATCCGGGATCTTGAAACGTTCAGGGCGTCGGTGCCGGAGACCGCGCATGGGGCGGCGTAGGAAAGAAATTTGAATGCCAATTCGCTGACGGGCGCGTGTGATCGACGTGGTTGAAGTCAAATTGCAGTTTTCGCTTGGGGGGCCGAGGGCCAATCCCGCTGATCGCCGCTCCTCTGGGGCTGGCTCGGCGGCTTTGCTGGGGCCGCGGGCGGCGGCCCTCCGTCGGTTCTGGCGCTGCTGGAGCTGGGGGCGCACCTTTTCAGCGTGATCTTCCGGGGCTGCAGGCGTCTTCCCCGTCGACTCCGGCGCAGCTGGCGCTGGGCGCGCGCCTGCTCAGTCGGATGGCGACGTGGGTGTGGTGGGCGATCCAGGGAACGTCTCTGTTGCGGTAATCGATGGATGCGCTTTCCTTGCTGGCGAGGAGCGCGTATTCAGCGCCCGTCGACTGACCTCCGAGCCCGTTGCCCCGGCCCAACTCAAGGTCAAACTTCGGGGCGCCCTGGCGAGGAAGCAGTAATTCGAGCAGGAGGCAGCAGACCATGGGGCGGAGCTGTGGATTGTCGAGGAAGCGCGAATCGCCGTGGATGATCGCGCCACCGAAACCTTTCGCAGGGGCAAAATAAAGAAGGTCCTTGCGGAGGGATGGCCGAAGGTGAACGAGTTAGAGGTAGATGACGCGCTGTCGGCGGCGAACATAGCCTCGCATGACGGGCCGCTCGAGGTTGAGTCTCGAAGCGGGGCGAGTCCTAGGGGGCAGATCGCCGAATTGCAGCGAGGAGAAGGTTGCGAGTCATGGAGAAATGAAGAAGATACACCGAATTCGCGAGGAAGAGCGGTGCCGCCTCGTCTCGCGCGGCCAGAAGGCCACTGGCAAGTTGGCGAGCTTAAGATTGTTTGAGACGCGCTAGCCGAGGCAAGCTGTCGAGGGAAGAGGCGCGGTTGAAACTTCAGAAATTTCAGGAATTCTCATTGCGTCTCTTCAAGGAGGCCCGCTTTGCTGCATCTTCTCATGCTTCGGCGAGTAATGGGGAGGAAACCGTGGGGGGACTCAGACAATGAAGAGGTCGCTTCGCTTGCTCCAGCGGTGATGCGCGACCCCGCGGACCTCGGGCGTGCTGGCAAAGGCCGAAGAAGAGTTGAACGCTGTCGTCGCGAGATGGCTGTTGCGAAAGGATTGCGATGGAGGAGGCGCGCTCGACGCGGGGGCAATTTGTTTCCGCCGGGCCAAGAGGCTTGTCAGTCTGAGGGCAAGCCGTGACCCGGACAGGAGTGCAATATACGTCGCCGCATACTTCCTGGTTTCCCGCGGGCTTCAGGACCTGTTGACAGAAGGGGGCCCTTGGCTCGCAGAGGAAGATGGAAATGTGCGCCCCCGAGGGCGCGATCGTGTTCCCGGTAATGATGGTGCAGGGCGGGGAAGGGCACAACTGATGAATGGAGGGTGGCGCATCGCTCTGGCGCCGAAGAATCATGTTTGCGAAGCTCTCCTTCCTCTATCGTGGAATGCCAATGGGTTGTGGCGCAGACCCAGCTGCCCTGCGTTTCCTGATGCGACCCGGCGCGGGGCTCGCAGGGGCGAACAGGGGGGGGGGGGGGGGGCATTTGGCCAATCGCACGAACGTGATGATAGGGCCAAAGTTCGCGACCCACGATGAAGAGGGGCCTAGGCAGCGAGAAAGCCAGGGCGGCAGCAGAGACGCCCGACCCGACGCCCGAGGCGAGGAGGGCTATGTCTCTGGCACTGACAGACGGGCCTGTCGCGCCCGCAGTTCAGATGATGAGTGCACTTTTCTGGGTTGCCTGTGGCTGACCTGGATGCGCCTGCCTGCGATGGTGCCTGCGCCGTTCTTGGCAATCTCCGTTTCGAGGGCGAGTTTAATCTTCCGTTGCGCACGGCGGCGCCCAGTGATTCGCGCGAGCATCGCCGGGGCGCTGCCCTGGCAGGGGCTACTTCGATATTCCTCGGCGTGGGCAAGTGCAGAGGGGGCCGACGTGTATATCTCCGCGAGGGCCAGTGGCCATGAGGTCGCGAAAATTCAGCAAGTATTGATTGGGCTTCAGAGGCGCACTCGGCCGCGATTGTCATTCCGGGGGCTGGGCGCTGGTTTCCGCCATCGAGGCCCGAATGTCGCGCGGTGGCGAAGCGTTTTGGCTCGCTTAGGCCCGCCACAGATTGTTCGAATTACCTTTTGTGGTCCGCGCAACATGTTCTTAGAGCATCTCTGGGCGGGGCTGTCTTGTTGCAGTTTCGGGTTTATGTTCTAGGAACATTGTTTTTGCTTTGGTTCTAAGAGCATGTCGCGGTCGGCATAGAGGAATGCAGTGGCGGTCGCCCCTGCCCAAGAATAGAATAGGAATGGGTCGCCGCAGATATCTTATATTGCTGTCTTTCGGCGAATGCCAGTTAAGGCAGAACATGGAATTGCGAGGTGTCAAAGCGATGGCAGAGCGGGCGACGACGATATTCAGAGCGAGGCGGAATAGGCCGCCGTAGTTGCGCCTGGTCGAGCGACCCCAGGGTTGATCCAGACGACCAATGAGCATGCCATTGAGCGCATGAATGAAAGGGGGTCCTACCTGCCTGTGTAAGATGAGCGGGGGGGGGGGGCCCATGGGGTCGTCTCTGCGTTCGCCGAGAAGGAATGCATCGACGTGGTGGGGTCTAACGTGGTGGGGGCGTTTTCGAATTCTGTCGGCGGCCCATTGTCTCATGGAGCATGACAGATATTGTTTCTATGTGGCGAATGCGCAATGGGAAGAGGTTGGGAGGGCGCCGACGACGCCCGCGACGGTAGCGGGGCATTCCCCCGGCAGCGGGCAGGCCGCAGCTGCGGCCCAGGCCGGGGGGGCCGCGCGGCTGAGAGGCGGCGAGGCCATGTTCGCGATGTTCGCAGAGTTTGGTCGCGATGAATGCTTGGACGTGAGCGGGGGTAAATGAGTGGAGCGGAACTGGGGGTGACTTTTGACCCTGGGACATGCGCCTTTTGATTAGACGCGGCGCCATCCTTGCGAAGGGGTGTCCGGAGCTCGCCGAAGCATCTGGGGTACTTGAAATGGCGCGCGAGGGCCCAGTGTTGTCCGGGTGAAGATCTATGACAATAAAGCAATGGGACTGACGCTCCTCTCGCGGAAGTACCCAGCTTGCATGGCTGCGTTGGGCGAGAGTGAGGTGGTGGAGGACATCCCCGAGAAGAAAGACAAGATCTCCCCGGAAGCGCTTTTTGAAACCGGCGAAAGCTCCCAGGCTGGGCGAACCATGTTGCATGCGACTGTTTAGAGCAAATGGTTGACGCTTCGCGTATCCCCACCAGCCCATCCAGTAATGATGCCCAGGCGAATGGAGGTGATCAGGGAAGTGAGGGAGCATGCAGAGTATCAAAGGGCTGGGGAACCCGTCTTACCCAAGACGGCGAGGATGGAGGAGGAATCGGAGGAGGATGAGGAGGAACTGAAGGGGGAGGAGGGGGAGCGAGAGGGGGGGGGCGGAGGAGGAGCAATAGGCGGACGAGGAGGAGGAGGAGGAGGAGGGGGAGCAGGACGAGAACGAGGAGGAGGATGAGGAGAAGGGCGAGCAGAATGGCCAGAGGCCTCTCGGATGCCTCTCGGAGTCTCTTCGGATGTCTCTTGGGAGCGTCCTGAAGGCCTCGAAGGCCGTCTTGGGGGCGTCTTGGCGGTCCCGGATGCCTCCTGGGGCGTCTTGGGTGCCTCGGGGGGGCCTTGGGGGCCCCTTGGGGCCATCTTGGGGCCATCTTGGGGCCATCTTGGCGCCTCTTGGGGCCCCCTGGTCGCCTCTTGGGGCCATCTTGGAGGCGATCGATCAAAGAAGAGGGTGGGGTTAATTAGCCCTGCCCCTCTGGATCCTCTAAAATCGCCTCTTGGGCCCATCTCGAGGCGCTCTTGGAGCGCCCTTGGGCGCTCTTGGGGTCGTCTTGAGGCTCTCGCGGGCCCCTCTTGGGGCTGTCTTGGGCCCCCTTGGAGCCATCTTGAGGCCTCGGAAGGCCATCGGACGCGAAAAGGCGAGAAAGCAAAACACATTGATGTTCCTTAGGTTTTTGAAAGATTTTGGCCTCTTGGAGGCCTCCTGTGAAAGCTAGTTGGCCTCTTGGAGCCGTCTTGGGGTGGTCTTCGGGCCTGTTGGAGCATCTTCGGTGCCATCTTGAGGCGTCTGAGGTTAGCTCGAGCAATCTTGGAGCTCATCCTGGGCCCCCCGAGGCGCTCTTGGAGCCATCTTGGGCCATCTTGGGCGCTCCAACTACCGGCGAAACCTCCCGTCCAGGTCCAGGGGGGGGGGGGGGGGTAGGGGGAGGGGTAAACCCCTCCCCGAAGGGGAAGAAATGGGGGTTGGAAGAGGAAACTCCCTAACCACCTACGCCCAGAGGGCTGGTGGGATTTGGCTCGGTGCGGCGCCGTGCCCGCGTCGCGGGGGCATTGCGCGATTCGCGGCCCAAAGCCGCCGATCCGCGAAGACGGACCTGACCTGGCGCGGGCTGCGTGCTGCAACAGTGGGGCAGGCCAGTGATGATTGATGCAGCGCAACCCGCTGGCGCGCAGATGGGCGCTGACCCCGGTGGCGAGCCGCCAGCGGAAATCCCCCTCGCATGAGAGAAATATTCAGGGGATAGTTCGTTTCTCGAGAGCGAAGGCCATGGGCGAGAGTCCGAGCGATCACAGCAGGCTGTGGACAGCGCCGGGTGCGAGGGCCCGGCGGCTGTGACGCGCGTAGCCTGTGCGCCAGAATGCATGGGGAGCAAGCCCGCGGCGTGCTCGCTGTCATTCGCGAGAAAGTTGAGAGGATGCGATAATATACTCGTGCCTCTGGCGCGACGCGATCGATCCAGAGGGGTGGTGCCATCGATCGGCATTCAGAACTGCGCGCGCTGGTTATCTCTAATCCGCAGTCCCCTGGCATCGGCCCGCTGCGTGGCCTCCATTGGAACCTGGAAGAACTTGCGATGGCAGAGGCGATGGGCCCCTGAGGGCGCTGGGTCGCACGGGCCGGAAGGCAAGGTGCCGGATTTGTTTGCGAAGCAGTCGCGCGGGCACAAGGGCAATCCCAGCCCCTCTCCCCGCAGAAAGTCTACGCGGGGGGGAACTGCCGTCGAGTTCGAGAACGCTCGCGATGCCACATGGCTTGGGGGGGCCCCGAGAGCTCCGCGAGCAATGCGACAGTGATCAGCGGCCGACCGCGGCTGCAATGCGGCGGAAGTGCGTCGGTTGTTTCCGTGGGCTGTCCTTGGCTGGCCCCGGCTGTTCCGGGGCCGTCTCATCCCGCGTGCGGGGTTGGGCGGTTATTCAGTTTGGACATCTGTCTGATGTCGCAGCTGAGACCCCCGGGATTGCGCGCGCCCCGAGAAAAGGCTCGGCGGCCGCTGTTGCCCAGCTGTGCTTTCCGAGGCTCCTTTGGGGCAGTGTGGCGGATTGTCTTGGGGGGGCGGGGGGGCTCGGTCATGGGGGCCCATGCAGGCCGTGTTGCCCCGAGGAAAAGTGCGCCGCGCAGCGCGCGCCATGGCCGAGGCT